TAGAATGCGGCTTCATAGTGGACAAATAGGTGGTATGTGTCGATGTGTTTTTCGTGGGTCTTTTCCAGGATTTGGCGCAGAGTGAAAATCTGGTCAATGGTGGATTTGCCAGGTCTGAAGCCGCATTGGTATGGTCCGATGATGTCATTGACCATTGGCTTCAATCGTTCACACAGCACACTGGATAGCACTTTATATGCGATGGGAAGGAGACTTATTCCTCTATAGTTGGCACATATCGACTTGTCTCCTTTTTTGTGCACGGGACACAGGATGCTGAGGTTCCAATCATTGGGCATGCATTCATCTAGCCAAATTGTGTGTGTTAATCAGCTGGTGCATGCTCCTGACCAGCATCTGGCCACCAGTCTTGAATAGTTCGGCTGGTAACCCATCGGCTCCTGCTGCTTTGTTGTTCTTGAGCCGATTAATTGCTTTTATGACCTCATCTTGGCTAGGTGGTATACACTCTATACCATCATCATCTTTTATTGGTTCTGGGGTATCTTCTTCATCGCCACTATTTGATACTAGTAGCTTTTCGAAATGCTCCTTCCAGATCCTCAACACGCTGTCTGTATCTGTCACCAGGTTTCCTTCTTCATCTCTACAGGAGGATGTGCCTGCACCAAAGCCTTCGGTTTGGTGTTTTACTCGTTGGTAAAATTTCCGGACTTCATTCTGACTCCTGTACATCTCGATTTGCTCACGCTCACGTTTTTCTTGTTCTTTCTTCTTTTTTCTGAAAACACGTTTCTCCTCTCTCCATTTCTCCCGATAATTCTTCATCACGTTACGTGTTGCTACTGTCCTATAGTTCATTAAAAAATAATAGATTTATTTTTCTCCAACCTAATATTTTGGGTATGAGTAATATATTTTCCTATCAAAAGTTATCCACATTGAACCACCTTCATATAACGGTATTAACCAAAATTACCTATTTTCGATATTGTTCAGACGAAAAGGAGTTGTAAACGAGTTGGGATGTTGTAACCAAAATTATTTCATTCCGAAGTTTCAGGGGAACAAAGTTGATATTTTGGGTTATCACTGAGTGTCAAAATTTCCTACCTAAACCCTAGAGGACCTAGACTAATTTTCCAAACTAATATCCAACTACATGGATATTTGGATATATTCTGGCACGAATTTATTATGAAATTGCCGATCGCTTTTATGTTATTTGTATGATGAAGCCCGACCCGTTGAGCCTTACAAAATTAGTGTTACTGTTGGAAATTTTAAAAAAGTTGCACAAATAGTCGTTCCCTTGAAAAAAAGTCGCACAGAAAAGTAAAATCGTCAATAAAACTGTTCCTAGAATATGTCAGATTCCCTTGGACCTCAAAAACGAAGAAGACGAATCAAAAGGTTGAATTTACACAGTAAAAAGAAAATATAACTCAAGAAAAACAGGAAAGAAAAGTTGCAAACAGAGTTACAAAGCATCAAAAAGGTTCCAAATTGCGACTTTAGTCGCACAACGGTAACCCTGAACAAAATGTTAACATATTTTTTAATCAGTAATTTATTCGTACAGAAAAATTTATTCGAAATTGGATAAAATTTACTTAGTAAGATACAAATTAAAAAAAAAACGCATTCATAATTGAATTACGTCAGTTTTATCTCCTTGTAAATGATAATTACTTTTTAGGCCATACATTTCATGACATACTAATGTCCATTTACTGTTTTATCACTCTTCAGCTGAAGGACACACCTTTATAATTAAGGCTTATTTTTCTGTGTGCTAAATAATTGCAAAAAATAGCTTATAATATTATGCAGACACACCTGTATGAAATGTGTATCTGTGGCACATACATATCTACATATATATCCACGTGTATATAAATAACTTTTTTTTGCTCATCTTGTAAATTAATACATTGTTATGTCAATCTATGGCGTGTCGGTGGTGTATACACCCATTTATATATATATATATATATATATATATATACATTTATAAACAGGTATATACATATATATGTGTGTGTGTGTTTATAAATGTGGGAGTGGTTAAATAATTGAATATAACAACAACTATTTTTTTCACATAAAGGATTATTTTTATTACACACATTCCTGAGCAGTATCGCAAATTCGTTTATACTTTATTGTGATAATGATTTGTCATTAAAGCTTTTCATTATGGACCATTAAAGCAGTGGTTATCACAATTAAAATTAATTAAAGAATTTACTGTGCGGTGTTTTTATTTAAAAATATTCATACCAACCATTCAACATTCCGATGTGTTTATATTATTATAATCTCCATCATGAGGTGTAGTGTATATGGAATTTCTCATTTCATTTGACAAACAATAAAAGATATATGTATATCTTATTCGACGGACCCATCTGGCAACGCCATAACTTTTGACAGAGTTGTCACATCGCTTAATGACATAACGCGTTTGAAGCGTCAGTCCAAGCAGATTTTTACCATGAACCAATACACGGGAGCGCTCTGAAATAATTGAAATTTACATTCAAAAGAAGAAGTCAAATGTGAAAACTCAACGTGCTTTTAAAATATTATAAAATGTGAGACGTGCGCCTTCTAAGAACACCATTAAGCGTTTATACGAAAAATGTTCGACTAGTAAGGCTCTTTCTAATCCGAAGAGGCCATATAAAAGTCGACCAAGGCGATTGGCCGAGAATATCGCTGCCGTACGAGCCAGTGTTGAGAGGTCCCCAAGAACATCCTAAAAACTCCGTTCTTAGCAGTTGGGCATGGCTCCGTCCACTTTACAACGGATTATTCGCATTGATTTGCATTTGTTCCCGTACAAAATTCAATTGACGCAAAGAATGTTGCTTGCGAACAAGCCTCGTCTATTGGAATGGGCCCAAAGAGTCATCGAAATGACCGAAGATGACGAGCAATTTTGGAACAAAATTATCATGTCCGATGAAGCCCATTTCACATTGAATGGGACCGTAAATAAAAGCAAAATTGCCGTTTTTATGCCACTGAAAATCCTCAGGAGATTCAAGAAGTGCCTCTTTATGACGAAAAAGTCACAGTTTGGTGCGCCGTTAGTGCGAAAACGGTCATTGGGCCGTTTTTCTTCCAAAATGAAAAGGGTCATGGTGTTACCATCAATCAGGAGCGTTATCGCGACATGATGACCAATTTTGTGATGCCAATTATTCGTCGAAAGCGTATGAGACAGTTCTGGTTTCAACAAGACGGCGCTCCACCGCACGCAAGTCGCTTAACAATCGATTTTCTGAAGAATTTGTTTCCGGACCGTTTGATGTCGAAAAGTGGTGATTTGGACTGGCGCCCGATTTGACGCCGCCTGACTTCTTCTTGTGGGGATATTTGAAGTCAAAGGTTTACGTTAACAAGCCAAGGACCGTAGAAGAGCTCAAGGACAACATTCGTGAAGAAATAGCAGCTATTCCGGCCGAAATGTTGGCAAAAACATTTTATGATTAATTATGATTAAATGATTAACATTGCCAACCGCCAATTTTTTTTTATTTTTATTTATTTTTTTTCTTTGATTTAAAAAAATAGGTCCGTCGAATATGGGCAACCCTGTATAACCCTTCTTTTTGATAATATGTTTTAATATCTTCTATATTTTATTATATTTCTTTGCAGATTCTAACAATATAAAAGTCAGCGGCTGATATTCAACAATTACACTCAAATAAAAATCTTAGTTAATTACTTCAAATTATATTTAAAAAATATATATTAACGATACATATAACAACTTAATTTAATAATATATAAAAAATAGTAAAAATTCGTTAAACTGAAAGCTGTGTTAAAAAATATTTTATTAAATAGAATACAAAAGAAAAAAAAAAACAAATAACAACATTATTATTCAAATAAATGAAAATAATAAACTACAGATATATCTCTTAAAACAATTTTTAACATTAATCATTAAATCTTCCATTAAATGATATTTATTAAAAACAACAACAAAAACACAAAAGTTATCAAAAATCAAATTAAACTTAAAGAGAATAAAAAATAAATATTCAACAAACAAGCCTAAGTAGTGATATTAAAAAAAAATACTATTTTCTTTTTAATAAATATTTCAACTTCAATATAATGCCTATATACAGATGTATTTAAAAAAAAAAACGTTTAAAACAAAAAAAAAAGACAAATCTTTAAAACAAATAGCGTTGTGAATTAAACGAAAATAATTTTATGTAAAACTGTCAAAATTAAAAATACCAAATCTATTGGGTTTGAAAAAAACAAACATCCTTTAAATCAAACAACCCCACATGGCTAACCCAGAATAATAAACATAACCTTAACCTTAAACTTGACAAAAGCAAAGACAACAAAAAGGACAAAAGCTTGAATACAAAAAGAAAAGAAAAAAATCGAAGGCAAAACCGACAAACGTCAGCAAAGAACATTTTTTTTTTTTTTGAGCCCAACAACAGTGCATTGTAGTTCACATTCCTAGTCATTGCCTTGCTGACGTACAGTACATTTTTGGCCAGGAACCAAAAAAAGAAAGAAAAACAACAACAGCGAAATCCATTATCAGCAACCATCCTTTCGAGGTCATAGCAGGCCTAGGCAAAGGCATTACAAATTACGAAAACGACCTTCGCGTGTTGCAACAAAACTCCAAAAAGTCCAAACAAATTACCACTCCCAATCGAACACCTTAAGGACACATTGGAATGCACCGTTGTTAGATAACTGCATTGTGTACGACAACATCAGCTACACGGGGAAAACAAGTTGAAAACCACCACCCCCCGCTCCACACACCCCACCCGAAATAACCGTAAACTGCAGCAAAAAAGTTTCATTTCAAACACTTGTTTGTTTGAAGTTGGAATTTCTTCCTTCCTTCCTGCCACCTGCCGCGCCACCAAGGAACACAGGCGAACAGCACACCATCACCAAAAGACTTCAAAGGAATATTTAGTTTCCCGCCAAATTTGCTACGATATTAACGCGAGTGTGTGTATGTGTCTCTTTCCATGTATTGTTCATCTACAGTTCATGCAATGATGATACACCAATAAATCTTGGCAAAGCGTCATGACCGGAAGTACGGTAAGTGTTTCACTTTTTTAATGCAAAAAAAAAACCGTTATATGCTAACTATTTGCCTCTGAGGCAATGTGTCCGTTAAACACAAGTTGAACAAATTGTTTAGAATTTTGTTTTGTTGTTTTTTATTCAATACACATGTTATACATGAAGGTATCCGTGGGAAAGAAACCAAATTGTGAGGATGGACACAATGCAGCCAGTGTTGCCGACAGATATGTACCCTCCGTCTAAGCAATGTATGGTACAAATATTTTGTTATAAAATCAGTCCGAACACCAATAATAAAATGGAACTTCAGATATATAAATTTATAAGCATATGGATCTGATATTGAAGATATATAGATATGATGTAGAATTTTCATCATATTCTAGATAGTAACCCTTTGATGTCCAATGTTGCCCACAGGCAACAATATGTTTTAGAGCTTATCTATATATATATATATATGAGCTTAGTGTTAAGTGAGTGAGTGACTGACTGACAGATCATCCCCCAGACGAAACGGCTGAAGCTTGAAATTTTGAGTATGGGTTGTTGTTGGTCTGTAGGCGTGCCCAGCCTTAGGTTTTTGGAAATTCGAACTAGAACGGTACGAAAAGTATTACAATGTACCAAATATGGTACACTTTGAATTAGGCGAACGGGAAGAACTAGAATTCTCAAAATTTGGAATGTGGGTCACTGATGGAAAGTTAGGAAGATGTACAAAAGGATTTTTGAAAATTCGACCAATAAGTATACTAAAAGTACTAAACTTTACTAAATTTAGTTCTAATTGTATAAATATTGAACATATATAGCTAGAATCTAGAAATTTTATATAGAATACAGGTTGGGAAGTAATGTTGATGTACGTAAATGGTTTAAGAAATTCGTACTTATGTGTATAAAAAGAACAAAATGGTGCTAAATTTGGTACTATTTGCATTTAGTTGAGTGTATAGGGATGGAATGCTGAAAATTGGAGTTGGGATTACTATTGGAGTACATGATTGAGGTAGCATTAAAAATCGCAGCTATGTGTACGAAAAGTACTAAATGGTACTAAATTTGGTACTTATGGATACGACAAGCACTAAATGGTACTAAATATGAGCGAGCGGGAATCATAAAAATTGGAATTAAAATAAAGGAGTGGATTTTAGGATGAGACATCGAGCTAGTTTTAAAAATGCATAATTATGTGTACTAAATGGTACTAAGTTTAGTACAATTTAGATTTGAGTAAAATGATAGAGATGGGAAACGTATATTTGAAAATAAAATTACTGTAAGAGTACAGGATTGAGACAGTGTTGGAAATTCGAACTCATAAGTACGAAAAGTACTAAATATGGTACAATTTGGATCTATGTGAAGGTATAGGGCTGGGATCCTGAAATTTGTATTTAAAAATAGTTTTGGACTGTGAAATTGAGAAATTTTAGAAACTCGTACTAACGTCTACGAAAAGTAATAAATTGTACTATATTTGATTCAATTTGGATGTAGGTGAACGGATAGAGCTAGGATCCTTAAATGTGTACTTAAGGTTATTATTGGAGTGCATGACTGAGGTAGTTTTGGAAATTCGAAATTTGCTACAATTTGGACTTGAGTGAACGTTATGGATTTAACTTAGGTTACTGTGGGAGTGTAGGAAAAGTACAGAATGGTACCAAATCTGGTACAAGAACATACAGAAAATTCTTAAATTTGAACTTACAAAATTTATGAACAGACAGAGTTGGAATTCTTAAATTTGGATTTACGTTTACTATTTGAAAGCAGGATTGAAGTACATTTGAAAATTTGTACTTATGAGTACGAAAAGTACTAAATTTGGTACAATTTGGACTTTGGTCCAAATTACTGTTACAGTGTAGGATTGGTGTATTTTTAGAAATTCTTACTTAGGAGTATGACAAGTACTAAATTGTACTAAATTTGGATTTGGTTTAACCCAGAGATTTGGAATTTAGATTATTGTTAAGGTGTAGTATTGAGTTATGGCGACAACTTTGGAAAACCATATTTATGTGTACGAATAGTAAATAGAATAAAAAATGCACTTAATTTGGATTTGGGTAACGGAGAGAGCTGGAAACCTACAATTTAGAATGTGGGTCACTGACGGAGAGTTAGAAAGAAGTACAAAGTGGGTTTTGGAAGTAACTATTACTAAATTTAGTGGTGGTGATGGTATGGAAGTAGTTTTCGAAAAGCGCTAAATGAAACTAAATGATTAACCTGAATGTATTTGCTAAAATCTGATATATTTTTAATCTGTGTAATAAATTAAAAAAAGAGATTTCGGAAAATATTGCTTATGTGTATGAAGAGTACTAAATGGTAATAAACTTGATATTAGTGTAGAAATATAGGTGGAATTCTAAACTATAGTACGACAAATTATACAGTATTCACGATTTCCATGTGGAATATTTTTTTGTCTTCCCTTTCCGCTTACGAAGTAGCGGGCACTTTGCTAGTATATACATATATATTTTGGATTACATATATCAAGGCCTGATTATGGACGACACATATCAAAAGAATATTTTAAAAAATTCAAATTTTTGGTAAATATAGGGAAGAGAGTACAAGTTTGTACAGTACCAATTTGCGTATACAGTCCAAGTTATTTAAATCGTTTCATATTAGATTATTTAATTCTTTCAAAAATAAAAATAATTAATAATTTATTTTTTTTCATTGATTTTCCATTTGTTTTTTATTTTACATAATTTTTATTTTTCATAAAAAATGTACTGTACCTCCCTAACGACGACAAATTCTGTGCACAGAAAATCAGTCTATGATCACGGAAAAAATTCGGGGCTCAAAGGGTTAAATATTCTTCCACTCCATTTGCTTCATTATATAGGGTTTTCCAATATGATGAATTATTTACTTATTCACAGATCGAATGTTTATTTCATAATCAAACGTTAAGTTCGACGGGGTCAAACTGTTTTATTTGGGAATAGAAATACTCAATTTAAATTAAAATTTCAAATTAAAAATGAAAATTAAGCAGTTGTATTGGATGTATAGGAAACTTTCTGGAATGAAGTATTATATTCAACCACATTACAGCCACTTCGGGACTAAAATCGTTAAAATACAGAAAATGGTTCCCCCCATAGGAGCTACATCAATAGTCAATAGTACATCGATAATCTTCTGATTGGAAAATGCGTCTAGTACCTTCAAAATACGGAAAGTATGGATGTACGTACCATTATATGAAATGTATATAAAAACGTGCACCGATATTTATCATTTTCGGTAGCAAGATTTGAAACCCAATGAGAACCTAAAATATCAAATTAGAGCGAATTCGGTTGAAAAACTTACTCAAAATCTATTATATTATAGTACTAGCATATGTCCGATGTTTTTTTCACATAAGTCAGCTCTTCTGACAACCTACATACCAATATTGACTATAATTAAGTTCCTTTGTTTCCTTATAGTACGTATTTCCAAAGCTACCTTCAGAAATCCAGACCTATCGGTTCATCCATATCGAAATTGCACCAAATTTAGTACACATTAGTACCAATTTCCAAAAATTTCTACATAACCCAATCCGACACCCCAACAGTGATGCTTACTTCAAGATTCCAGCTCCATCGATTCACCCAAATCCAAATTTGTTACCTTTTAGTACACATTAGTTCGAATTTCCAAAACTACCTACAAACCCTAATCCTACAGCTCAATCCCGCTCAATCGGTTCTACCAAAATTTAAATTGTACAAAATTTAGTACACATATGTTCGAATTTCCAAAACGATCTGCATACATCACTTCAACACTCCACCGGTGTTCCTAACTCCAAATTTTAGGATTCCAGCTCTATCGGTTCACCCAAAATTCAAATTGTACCAAATTTAGTACACATAAGTTAAAATTTCCAAAACTGGCAACATACTTCAATACAATGCAATAGTAATCATATTTCCAAGTTTCAGCTCTATCGGTTCACACAAATCCAAATTTGGTACAATTTACTACACATTAGTTTGAATTTCCAAAACTATTGAGGTATGTACAATTCAACAATCCAATAGTGTTCGTAAATCCAAATTTCAGAATTCCAGTTCTATCTGTTCACCCAAAATTCAAATTGTACCAAATTTAGTACACATAGTACGAATTTCAAAAGCTATCTAAATACCTAAATACAATGATGTAGTAATCATATTTCCAAGTTTCAGTGTTCCAGCTCTATCGGTTCAAATTGTACCAAATATAGTACTTTTCGTATACATGACTACATACATCTTAAACCACCACCTTATATCGACCCTACTTTTCAGCCTTGATTCGCATTCCGAATATCAAGTTTTTAATTCTATCCTACAAAATTATAAAAATACGATTTATGATTTATAAAAAACCCCGTCGGACCATAAATTGCACCAAAAGGTCACTCGTTGACGATGAAAAGGTATCGATTACCAGTTATCAAAGACACGCCATGGTGGATGATCGGTCATGCACATTGTTCCTTATCGATACGAGGTCAGTTCGGAAAGTTCTTAGCCTAGCACAAAAAGCGCCGTATAAACAAAAAAGTTAAGTTTATTGGGATCTTCCATCTCTGTTATGAACACACGTTAAATTTAGTTTCGATATGGCAACTCCTCCAACAGGGGTTCAAAAAAGACGCATCCACAATTTTTTACAATGGAAAAATTAGAAATGTGTGCTTTCATTGTTTTCGTCTATTCTGCATATTAAGCACACATTTTCAGCATTTTGTAGGGTAAGATTCTGGGTTCATGTAGGGTACGAAATGTCCATCGCAGAAAAAATATTTACAATATCCATGGTCTAACCAGCCTCCGAATTTAATTTGTTTTTTTTTTCCTTTTTTTGTAGTTCATTATTAAGCTATCAATACAGCATATTTCCTTCAGAGCAAGTAGTACTTTTTAGTATATTAGTACTTTATAGAAAACTTTTTACTTGTTACTTTTTAAATATTTAAGGTTTTCCATAAGTTACACCTTCCCAAATACTGTCCTTGGCTAAATATTCTCCATATGTTTTAAATAATTTAAATACTAACACAAATATGCGTAATTGAATAAAAAAATTACCCATATGTTTCAAAAATAATTGCCTAGTTTAGGCAATAGCTGAAATGTGTAACAACGAATAAATGTTGGACAAATAGTTCACATTTTCAACAGCTGTCCGCAAAAAACCATTAAACCGCACCGCACACATGTCCGCATTCCGTTCACTGGTTCAAAAATATTTGTTGTTTCTTGTTATTGTAAAAAAAAATTGAACTCTATATATTGGTTGAAAATACATACTCTTAAATTTTGTTATTGCAATTTGGTTGGTTTATATGAAATTTAAATTGGTGTTGGTGTTTTTGTTGTCGTTTTTCGATTTTTTTCACACAAGGTTAAGGTTATTGTAGCCTTCCAGGCACTTAAACGCCAAAAGGTGTGCTGGCTGGCATTCAATGCAAATATGAAAGGTTATCGTGAAGAGGGTATGGATGAATAAAAAAACCGAACAACTGAACGAACGATATATTACCGATATGATAGGTCCTATCATCATCACCATCCTCGGCGTTGTCGTTAGTCAGTCACTAACAAGGATAATTGACTTAAAAATATTCGTGTTGTTTTTTGGCACAAAGTGCAAGGTTACAATTTGTGTGTGTGTTTTGATTATGCATGTGTGTTGGTAATTGATGGAAATTGGTTTTATATTCTATAGCGATGTGGCTATAGAATATAGAGTTCCTGGTATTTATCTGATAGAATATAGTTCATACAAGATAAATGAATTTATTATTTTATGGAAGCATATAAATAATCCTATGATTTTCATTTCATCACCATAAATATGAAATGTATAAAAAGAATATGGACTTCTTGAAATGAGCATGGAAGAACGAAAATTCAGTTGATGCACAAAAACACTTTTTTCTCATAAAAACAAAACGAGTTTTGAATAAAATTGAAGTAAATAGCGATAAGGATTGAAAATAATACATGTATTTGGGGTTTAAATTGCTTCGTATTCACTAGACCTGGTAGCCTCCTGTTCTCTGATCTCAAAAAGGCTCTCTAGTATGAAAATTTCGTCGAAATTGGTGAAATTGAGGAATATTTTGAAACAAAGAAAAAGCCAATAATGCCAAAATATTTCAAATGGAGGCTTGGTAAAAATAATGGGTTGTTTGGTTGAAATCGGAAATTCCTTTCGACTAATATTGAAATCGGATAGTCCGTTCACATGGTATTATAAATTAATTTGTAGCACAATTTTCAATTGAGAGAGTTGTCAGAAGGAGTGGTCCGATATTCCCCATTATCGAACTTGATCTATGTTTGGAAGAAATATTACCATATGCAAAGTTTGGGGGCTATGAACCGATATCGATAATTTTTATACCCTCCACAACTATGTTGTCAGGGTATTATAGCTTTGTGCAGCCCCAAAAGTTTGTAACGCCGCGAAATATTGGTTCTAGACCCACCTATAAGTATACCGATCCTCATATCTCGACTAGCTGATTCGATGTAGACATGTGTGTCCGTCCGTCTGTCCATTATAATTTGTAAACACGATACAGGCCACAGTTATGGATCAATCTTCACGAAATTTTGCATGTAGAATGGGTTCTGGCCAATGAATATTGTTTTTGATAAAGATCGGTTAATATTTAGGGGATGAAATAGACCAACAACTTTATTTTTGTCCATTTTTCTGGTCGCTCCAGAGGCCGCAATTATGGCCTGAACTTCGCGAAATTTCACATGGAGAAGGGGGTCGGGCCAAAGAATTAGCATGCCTGTTTTAATAAAGATCTGCCAATATTTAGCAGGTCAAATAGACCCTGATTTTTGTGTGAAAAATTACAAAATTTGTATTCTATGGCGTATATATTTACTCCTGGAGGACATAGACCCGAGAAGTTGATGGTATATCCAAGACTAGTGGTTGACCTTTAAATTGATACCAATCATATTGTCGCAGGTACTCGGATGCGGGAGTTACACTTAAATATTTACAGGTACTTACGTATTCATATATTATTTAGTAACCTATAACCACACTTTAAGGCGGATATATAGCCTGATCGCTTTGAAATGTTCCATGAGGTTCCAGTTATGGTCAACTTCACAACACAACCTACGGTGAAGGGTATCTGGACAAGTAATTAGAGGGGCTGTACTGATTATTAATACAATTTTCTAACCTCTAGCCAGTCAAAAGTGTTAAAATATCGCGAAATATTGCCCAATCTCAGAATATAGAACCACAGAAAGTTAGATTTTCATGGAAGTTGTGTAGGGTATCATATGGTCGGCCACGTCCCACTATACTGCTCCGCTCACTGGTTGTAGATAGATTTGCTATCCAATGAGAATTCAAATTACTAAATAGTAGCCAATATGGTTGAAAAAATTCCCTAAAAATTCCGAATAATGGGGACTACCGTTATACGGGAGCTATCATAAAAACCAGTGAGCGGAGCAATATAGTCGGACGGGGCCGACCACATATTATACCCTACACAACTTCCACGAAAATCTAACTTTGCGTTATTTGCACCTTCTTGAAACCCGACTAAAGGTCAGCAATTATTACAAATATTCAGTAGACGAGGGCTGTACTTGTCCAGATTCTCTTTTCCGTGAGTTATGTTATGATGTTGGGCTTTTAATTGTGGCCTATAGATAGACTCAAAAAATAATATTAATAATAAATAACACAAAAGGTTAAGGTTAAGTTTTCGGTCCCCTTCATCCCAAAAGTATTATCTGATCATCACCGAAAATTATAGGCGTTGTAAATATTTAAGTGTAATTCCCACATCTGAGTACATACGACCATATAATTGGTATCAATAATCCTCTTGAACATACTATCAACTTTGTGGGCCTAGGTCCTTCAGGGGCAAACATATACGTCATAGAATACAAATGTTGTTATTTTTCACACAAAAGTCAGGGTCCATTTGACCCGTTAAATATTGACCGATCTTACCGAAAACAGGCATGTTTATTCTTTGGTCGGATCCCCTTCTCCATGCAAAAATTCGCGGTGTTTGGGCCATAATTGCGGCCTTTGGAGCGACCAGAAAATCTGACAAAAATAAAGTTTTTGGTCCATTTCATCCCCCAAATATTAACCGATCTTTTTCAAAACCAATAGGGGTCTTCATTGGCCAAAAACCATTCTACATGCAAAATTTCGTGAAGATTGGTCCATAGCTGTGGCCTGTATCGTGTTTACAAATTGTAATGGACCGACGGACGGACGGACACACATGTCTAGATCGACTCAGCTAGTCGAGATATGACGATCGGTATACTTAAAGGTGGGCCTAGGACCAATATTTCGCGGCGTTACAAACTTTTGTGGCTGCACAAAGCTATAATACCCCGACAACATAGTTGTGTAGGGTATAATTAGGCCGATATCGATTATTTTTGGTAGGCTGTTTCGGTTCAAAAAGTGTAAAAGCGTTATATAAGGGTTTTACCAAACACGTAGACCGATTGAAAATGAAATAAATAGAGTAGTAACAATGTATGTGTGAAATTTCGAATTTCAATCTTAAATAATGGGAGCCCTATCGGAACAGACGGATAAACATAAATCGACATAGAATTTTATTCTGATCAAGAATATATATACTATAAAATATCCACTTTCATGGCTCTGGCAATCTTGAAAAATTTTCTTTTTTTAGGTCTGATACTCTTTGAAAAATATTTTTAATCCTCATTTAAAATATATATTTTTAAAAATATGATCATATTTTTTAATAATTATGCTATATCGTTTACTTATTTTTACCTTTCCAGACATTACAAAAATGCAGGAAATGAGTTACCTGCAGGATAATTCCAAAGTGGAGGCACTTACCAAAGCTGTTCTCATCTCCATATTAGCTGTTGCCATTATTTTATCGAATCTCTTGATTATTGCTACCTATGCCAATTTTAAAGGTAAGTTTAAAAGTTTGGGGACTTCCCACATGTACAGAAGAAAAAAGACTATCCTTTCTATATTTTCGTAACTGCTATCCAATCCAAAATTATCAAACATAATCCTTAATAACAAAAAAAAACAAATAAACAAATCCCCAATCCAAAAATCAATCCATTGTATATATTATATTGAGTTTTGAGTACTGTGTTTCTTAAGACGGACTATGAGTGATGTGTGACAGAAAATTAAAAGAAAAAAATGTATATAAATATGGTGGACCAGAGGTAAATAAATGTATTTTAGAACTTTTCAAATGCTTCTTTAGAGAGACAAGAAAAAAATGAAGAAAACGTTTTTATTTTTAGAAACCATTTGTGTGATGCAATCCTTATATACCTTATGGGGATTTTCGGAATATGTATTTTTAATATTTTGTTCTTCGTATTTTTATTTTACCCCTTGCCACCTGCTGCTGATGATGTTGTAGGTCCCACAGAGGTCATCAATTACTATTTGCTGTCATTAGCCGTTGCCGATTTATTATGCGGTCTATTGGTGGTACCATTTTCGGTGTATCCCGCCTTAACCGGCGAATGGATTCAGGAGGAAATAATATGCCGTTTCACAGGTTATTTGGAGGTAACATTGTGGGCAGTGTCGGTATACACCTTCATGTGGATATCGGTTGATCGTTATCTGGCAGTGAGAAAACCACTGCGCTATGAAACTGTACAGACAAAAACAAGGTAAGTATATATCGTACTTATATATATAGTCATCGGAATTACAAAATTGTTGGTGATTTTTTATATTAACGTCGTTTATAAAAGTGTCGTTAGGTTTGTTAAATGAGGTAAAAAAAAAATATTGTTTCAAGGGCTCGTCATAATAAAAGTCACCGAAATCCATAAAACATTTTATTTGAGGAAGATTTTTTTTTTTTTTTTTGAACAACGACTATTACAATAAACTCTATGCTATGTAATCAACGAAAGTGTTTCCTTGTATTAATGAACGGGTTTCATTGCATTCAGGAAAGTGGATTATTGCAACAATGATACGGTTTCATCAGGTTGATGACTTTGTTTCATGATATAAAATATCGTATTCAAAGTCATAATAAAATACGGGTTTAAAGCAATAATTTCGTAAAAATTATGAATACATTTCATAACATTAGTGGCTATATTTCATAAAATCAATAATATCAATATATAGAATATATGAAAGTAATGCAATGTAGTTATGAATGTTTTCATTTGAATTAATGAACGTTTTTCATTACATTTATGTAAATGCTTCATTGCATTCATGAAAATGTAACGTTTTTATAATGAAACTGTTTCCCTGGATTAATAATATTACTTGCACAACTGACTTGTGACAGAACATTTGTTCCATAAGCCGAACTTGTCTTATGCGCATCTCTTCGAATTTAAAAGACCATGTTCCGAAATAAAATTTTGATCTTTCCATCGAATTCATGGCCTTCCCCTTCTACGTAAACCATCAGTGGGCTCGCTTTTATATGGCTTCTGAACGTTCATTGTATTAATGAACGCTTTTCATTACATTTATGTAAATGCTTCATTGCATTCATGAAAATGTAACGTTTTAATAATGAAACTGTTTCACTGGATTAATAATATTACTTACTTACATAGCTGACTTGTAACAGAAAATTTGTTCCATAAGCCGAGCTTTCTGTGGTTCTATATTCTGAGCTTGGCCAATATTTCGCGATATTTGCAACCTCTTGACCGACTAGAGGTCAACAAATATTAAAAATATTAAGTACAGCACTTCTAATCATTTGTCCAGATTCCCTTCACCGTGGGTTGTGTTGTGATGTTCGGCTTTCAATTTTGGCCTATAGATCGACTCGAAAAAAACACCAAAAAATAAGTTTTCGGTCCACTTCATCCCAAAATTATTATCTGATCATCACCGAAAATTATAGTCGTTGTCGGTGACCATAACTTGAACCTCATGGAAAATTTCAAAGCGATCAGCGCTATATTTCCGCCCTCTAGTGTAGTAATGTGTTACTAAATAATATATGAATACGTGATCACCTGTAAATATTTATGTGTAAGTCGCGCATCCGAGTACATAAGACAATATAATTGGTTTCAATTTAAAGGTCAACCACTTCTCTTGAACATACTATCAACTTCTCGGGCCTAGGACCTTCAGGTGCAAATATATACCCCATAGAATACAAATTTTGTAATTTTTCACACAAAAGTCACGGTCCATTTGACCCGCTAAATATTGACCGATCTTTATCAAAACAGACATACTTATTCTTTGGCCCGATCCCCTTCTCAATGCAAAAATTCGCGGTGTTTGGGTCATAATTGGGGCCTCTGGAGTGACCAGAAAAACCGACAAAAATAAAGTTTTTGGTCAATTTAATCCCCTAAATATTAACCGATCTTTTCCAAAAACAATAGGGGTCTTCATTGGCCAGAACCCATCCTACATGCAAAATTTTGTGAAGATTGGTCCATAACTGTGGCCTGTATCGTGTTTATAAATTATAATGGATAGACGGACGGATGGACGGACACACATGTCTAGATCGATTCAGCTAGTCGAGATATGATGGTGGGTCTAGGACCAATATTTCGCGGCGTTACAAACTTATGGGGCTGCACAAAGCTGTAATACCCTGACAACATAGTTGTGTAGGGTATAAAAATGCGCGTCTGTCTTGTGGGCTGCTCTTCCAATTTGAAAGATCATGTTCCGAAATGAAGACTTTATCTTTCCATCGAATTCGTAGCCTTCCCCTTCTACGTAAACCATCAGTGAGCTCGCTTTTATATTGCTTTTGAACTGTGGCATCCTCATCCATTCGCACAACATGACCTAGCAAACGAAGTTGCTGCAGCTCGATAATTCTGACTATGTCGATGTCCGATAGATGGTACGACTCATGGTTCATTCGACGACAATATTCGCCATCGACGCATATTCGAGAATAGATCTTTCGGAGAATTTTTCTTTAAATAGTACAAGAGCTGTCTCATCTGTTTGGGAAAGTTCCCATGCTTTAGATCCATACAATAGTAAAGCCGTCTTGTAGAGTTCCACAGTTGGTTCGAGTCTTCTGGAGACTTATTCCTCTATAGTTGGCGCAAATTTCTTGTCTCCTTTTTTGTACACGAGATACAAGATGCTGAGTTTCAAATCATTGGGCAAATCATTTTTCAGCTGATTAATTGCAATTCTGATTTCATCTTGGCTAGGTGGAATACAATATTCAAAGTAATAAAAAAATGCAACAATTGCACATTACTGATGAATCTATTTCATAACATTAATTAATGTGTTTCATAAAATCTATGATGACAATACATAGAATTAAGGAAAGTATTTCATTGTATTAATGAACGTTATTCAATGCATTAATAAATTGTTTTCATTACATTCCTGAAAATGCTTTGTTGGATTAATGACAACGAAATTATGTCATTAATGAATATGTTTCATAAAATCAATGATAACAATACATATAATGCAATTTAAATCAATTGCGAAATATTGAACGTAAAAATAAAATAAAATGTCGAACAAAACAACACAGAATAATTAAGGACAGTAATACATAGTATTAATGAATGTTTTTCATTACATTCATTGGTCTTACAACTGCGTTTCGTTACAGTAACGAAACTGTTGCGTCGGAGCAATGATATATATATATATATATTTTTTTTTTTATTTTAGTAATTAACAGTTTCAAAGTTATAATAAAATGCAGGTTCATAAAAATAATTAAACTGTTTCATAATACCAGTGAATATATTTCATAAAGTCAACGAAAATGATGCATAGGAATAATGAAATGTTTCATTGTATTAATGTATTGTATTTCAATTACCCTGTTACATCTTCCCTATTTAATGCTTTGTTACATTAATGAACATTTTACGATTGAACAATGAAATTATTTCATTGGTTTAATAACTGTGTTTCATTACAATGACGAATCTGTTTCGTCAGATCAATGATATATATTTTTTTATTTTAGTAATTAACATTTTCAAAGTTATAACAAAATGCAGGTTCATAACAATAATGAAACTGTCAATGTCAATGACAATGAAACTGTCAAAGTCAATGACAATGATGCATAGGAATAATGAAATGTTTCATTGTAACAATGTATTGTATTTTAATTACCCTGTTTTATCTTCTCTATGCACTTTTTGAGTTTTTTATGTTTTCGGCAAACAAAATTGTCATGATTTTAGTCTTTTTTTCTCTTTTGGATTGATCTTAATGTTTTGAAAATATCACCAACAACTTATCAAAAACTAAATTGAAATTACAATTCATATAACTGAATATACGCTTGAAAATGTAATTAAATTTTGTTTAATATATTGTATTTTACTACAGATGCCAATGCTGGATGGCCTTTACATGGATCTCAGCCGCATTACTCTGTTGTCCGCCCATATTGGGCTATACCGCACCGGTGAAAAACGATGTCGCCCACATTTGCATGCTGGACTGGGGCAATATGGCTGCATATAGTATAACATTAGCAATATTAGTATTAGGTCCCAGTGTTATATCCATTGTCCATAACTATTCATATATATTTATAATGATGCGTAAATTAAAATCGGGCGAGCCCATACACGATAAAGAATACGCTACGGCGTTGGCCGAAAATTTATCGAATCCTAGTCATATGATGTCATTTGCATTAGTGTTTGCATTCTGGATGTCCTGGTTGCCGTGGATTTCGTTACGTTTGTACGAACAGGTAACCGGTGATGTTGTGCAAAGTACTCTCATTAATTTTGGCGTTGTCTGGATCGGTGTTCTAAATTCATTTTGGAAAATCATAATTATGACCACGATGTCACCGCAATTTCGTATCGCGCTCAGAGTATTTTGCCTAACAATATGCTGTAAGACTAAGGGCCGTTTGCAAGCTGAACTAATCGGGTTGGACCCAGATGACTAGAGTCGTTAGATTTTCATGTGGCTTTAAAAAGAGAATCAATGAAAATTCGATACTCGATTCGATTCAAACAAGAAAGAAAAAATGCCTTTATCCATTTTTCCCCTACAAGAAAAGAGACACTTTTCCCCTTTTTGAAAAGAAGAGAAGAGAGACAGAGAGAAAAACGAACAAAAGCTAAATCGCCCAGCCCAACCCACCTTTCACACAAAAACACACATACACTACACTTACACAGAATTTTAGGATTCCCCAAAAATTAGGGAATTTTACAATACACCCAACAAAGACACAACCAATTACACACATACACCCTCGCATACACACACCAACATACTTTCCATAATTTTTTTATTAAAAAAACTTAAAAACTAGTTTATTATTCTTATAGATGAACAAAAAAAAACAAAAAAGAAGAACTAAAGATTTAATTAAATTGGTTGTAATTAGATGAAATTATTATATATTTAAAAATATATATGAAAATTCAATTTAAAATAAATTATTACAAAAATTTAGATAAAAAAAACAATGAAAACAAACTGTACGTACATAAATACATACTTAAATTATAATCTGCAAAAAAAAAACAGAATCTTAAATTTAAATAGCAACTCTAAGCTAAAGTGAATTAGTGCAACTAATGTTGATTAGCATTTAAGCCTTAATTTATAAAAATCAAACCAAATAACTAAACACAAAACACAATTTTCATTCCAAAATAAATCCAAATTAATTAAAATCTATATAAAAAAACCAAACATGTATAAATAAGTTATTTTTGATAAGTAGATTTTAAAGGCGTTCTGAAATATACAGTTCTATGAGCTTATGACATATTTTAATTTTTTTTTATTTTATATTTCAATTTTGATGGAAATTTGTTTTTGAAATTATGCCAATGGATGAAGACAGGGAATTTTGATAAAAAATAAGTCAAAATAAATCTGTTTTATGAGAGATCTTTGGGAATGTGCAGAATATTCTGTATAAGAAAACTTCGCCATGGAGAAAAATATTTATTTTAAAAGTTTAACTTCGACTTTTCCTCTACCTCGACAGATTTTTTTACTTATCTAAATTCTAATTCTATACTTCCACTTGTATATAATTTGTAATTGGAAATCAATTGAAATTTAATTCGAGTATTTCATTTGTAATTCGTAACATTTGAATTATTCTATTTGTAATTGAATTAATTCACGTTTTAATTCTAATTATAAAAATTAAAATCATTTTACCAGAATGTCGAATTTAATTTGTTTCGAATCTAAAATGGGGAATTTGAATTCCAAGTCAAACAAATGAAATCGAACATTTTCATAATATCTTCAAGGGGATGTGTTAGCCTCGTATATCCTGAAGTATCGACCGACGTGACTGAAAAGGCTTTTATGTGGATCTTGATTTAAAAATGGCTGCAAATTAAAATATTGTTTAACATCTGACGACTAAAAATAACAAATTACGTCCATGTCAGTTGGGAAAATTGGCGAACACAGAGAATATCTATAATGGGTAACATACCTTATACATAAATCGTTTCACGAAGAGATATGTTAGCTGCTAACAATAAGAAATGCCTCAAATATGAATAGGATATTCGTTAAAGCATATATTTTCTGTCGAAAGTTATTTTAATATCTGATAACCCCAAACGTCATGCTACTGTTATTTTGAAACTTAAAATGAGACTGGAATTTTATATGGGGGCAATGTCAAGACGTGGACCAATATTGAAGTTATTTTGCGAGGGTAGAACCTCTAAAATACAAAATTTAACCACTTCGATTAGAAAAATCGACCGAAGTAGTAAAAAAGGAATGGTATTGATATATGAAGTTTATTCTGATACGATGTTTTGGCACGAACTCATTGAACCACCATTGTAATCGAAGACAACTGTGAGCGAGTTTGCTTCTTTAATACAGCGTGGAATCAGAAATCTTATTGAGGTTGAGCAGGGATGGTCCGTGTGACGAATTTTTAGGCTTTCGACTGTCAAAAAGGTGTAAACGTCGAAAACGTCATATACCTGCATAAAATTTTGCATAAAATATAAAGTTATTTTGAAGAATTATATTATTTTTAGATATACATTCTGACTATTCCTTATTAGAAGTGATAAAAATTCTAAACTCTTTGAAGAGGAAAGTTTTGAAATTTGATATGGATTTGAGTAAAGCATGCGTAATTTCCAAATTTATTAATGGAAATAGCTCTTTTGTCAAAAACCTAATGGCTTTTGGTAAGTTTCCGACGTTTCTGACGTATGTATTATACGTCGGGAAATGTTTCTTACGGACCATCTCTGAGGTTGAGGGACCCAACTAGGAATATTACGAAGTTTTGATTAATAAGAAGTAAGCAGATTGTTATTAGAGATCAGACGACAACATCACAATCGAGTCAAACTGGGTTTAATATTTGGCATGTAGAACGGAAAACCAAACAACAAACACTTCGAAGGCGAAAATCGGCTAAAACATGAGCAATACAGAAAATGGGCTGGAACTTTATAGGAGATTCTGTCATAAAATGGACCTATATCGAAAATGTTTTTAAAGATGTTTTAACCCTTAACCCGAAACAGAGCGGTACCAATACATTGGTATTACACTAAAATGTATGTATGGTTTCATACTTCCGAGTTCTATAGAGATTTCAAGGGGCATGGTTAAATCGATAAAGAATTTTATTTACTTTATAGAGTATCCGGTAAATATTTCGAGGTATTGTAAAGTCCACCTTATAAAGCGTTGTCATGTTGTCAGCTTAGAAATTTATGCCAGATCTGTGGTAGTCTATGTGTTCTTGATTAGCTGTAATCAAGGAAGTAATCGGTGCTTCTAGTCGAAAATTTATTTATATTTCATAAATATTAAAAACCAGTGAGCGGAGCAGTATAGTCGGACGGGGCCGACCATACGATACCCTACACAACTACCACGAACTCTAACTTTCTGAAGATGTTTATTCCGAGTCAGAGTAACATTTCGTGATATTTGCCCCCTTATGTCCGTTTAGAGGTCAACAACACCTCTTCCTTACTTTTTCGAATATTCAGTACAGTCCTTCTAATTACTTGTCCAGATTACCTTCACGGTGGGTTGTGTTGTGATTTTCGGATTATACTCGACTCGAAAACACATAAAAAATTAAGTTTACGGTCCATTTCATCCCAAAATTTTAATCTGATCATCACCGAAAATTGTAGACGTTGTTCTTGGCCATAACTGGAACTTCATGAAAAATTTTAAAGCCATTAGTGCGATATTAGTGTATATATAAGCCATAGAATACAAATGTTGTCATTTTTCACACAAAAGTCAGGGTCCATTTGACCGGCTAAATATTGACCGATCTTTATCAAAACATGCATGCTTATTCTCTGGCCCAATCCCCTTCTCCATGCCAAAATTCGCGGTGTTTGGGCTATAATTGCGGCCTCTGGAGCGACCAGAAAAACCGACAAAAATAATGTTTTTGGTCCATTTCATCCCCTAAATATTAACCGATCTTTTCCAAAAAGAATAGGGGTCTTCATTGGCCAGAACCCAATCTACATGCAAAATTTCGTGAAGATTGGTCCATAACTGTGGCCTGTATCGTGTTTACAAATTATAATGGACAGACGGACGGACGGACACACATGTCTAAATCGATTCAGCTAGTCGAGATATGACGATCGGTATACTTAAAGGTGGGTCTAGGGCCAATATTTCGCGGCGTTACAAACATTTGGGGCTGCACAAAGCTATAATACCCTGACAACATAGTTGTGTAGGGTATAAATATTTAGATATTCGTAAATAATCCTACATGGCATTCATGACCTAATAAACTAATTTTTTGAAGATTTTTTTATTTTGTAAAATAAACATCGTTTTTTTTTCTTTTTATTACAAATTATATAAGTTTTAAAATTAAAATAATGTATACGTTTTCAAATTTATTTCATTTGTTATACATACTATTATTTAAACCGTTGAAACTGTTAGAATAATTTAATTTCTGTTTGAAAACGATACATTAATAGCAAAAAAACGTCATTACACCTAATTAAATATAAGTGAAAATAATTGTTGCCAAAAGACATAAACCAACACCTACAACCATGTAATACAGAAAACAATATAAATAAATAGAATTATTTTCAGTGTAACTAAATAAAATATTACTATGGGTGTATAACATAATTTATGCTATTCAAAAAAAAGGAGTATAACTACCTAATGTGGATACTTATAGGCAATCAGACAGAAAAAATTACAAAGGATTTTGTTTATTATCAATATTGAAATATAAATTCTATATAATATGGGCCTTAAGTATCCTCTTTATTAATTACTCTCACTCTCAGTTAAAATACCCACGGTATTATATTTTTATGGTTACACTACTAACAAACACAACACTACTACTTTTCAATAACTTACATCAACAATAACCACAAAATGCAGATAATAAAGCAATAAATAATTCCAAATAATATTATACAAACAGAAATGTAGAATACAATTTTTTCACTTAAGTAGATTTCTTCTAAACTGAAACCCTACATAGCAATAATTAAAATCTAAAATTTTTTCATAATAAAAAATAGTCCTAATTTATATTAGGCGAGTTTAATTGCAGCAAGTCTTTGTTTGAAGGAGAGAGGGGCAAGGGCAATTTTGCAATTTTCTTGCAATTCGTTTTGTGTATTTTGATTGTAGTGTCAGTAATTTGAAATAACAATCCAGAACATTATCACAAAATGTAAACAAAAATATTTTTTAAATCGAATTGCCTTGTATAGACGAATGAAGCAAGTTCAAAAGAGAACGATAAAAATTGCTGCAAGTAAACTCGCCTAAAATAAATCAGGACATATTGAAAACAAAAACAAAACTATTTTTGAAAATATCATCATAACACACTAGAAAACTAAACAGAAGCAGGAAATGACAAGTAGAATTAAATTAACAAAGAAAAAATGTTTGCAATACATTTAACAAAAATGTGTTAAAAAAGGTTTTAAAA